TAATAAAATGTGTGGTATAATCACTCACAAGCATCAAGGGGTGCTAATCCATGAACAAAATATTACATGTAATCAAAATATCAATAATATCCCCAAAATCCTCCATTGAATAAAGAGAATGACCCATAAACAAAAAATCAGAATTTGGAAACATCTGTCTCTAACTCTATCAAAGTCACTTCCACTCTCCCAAAATCTCTCATGTTTCTCTCTTTCCACACCATCCAAAAGATATTAAGGGGATTGAGACTAACATGTTTCTTCTTTCCACTAATACCCTTCCGCGTCCAAATCTCTTCTCTCCCCGAACCAGCCATCACTCAATTGATGCCTACTAACCCATAAGCCAAGATCCACAATTTATACACAAACAAACACCGCAGAAGGATGTGATTACATGACTCCTCATTCTTTTTACGTAAAAAACATCCATACACCAATATTTTTCTGCTCCTAATCAGCTTGTCAAGAATAAGAATACACCATTGACCTACTTCCCATGCAAAGAAGCAACTTTGGATGGAGTGTTAACTTCCAGATTTGCTAAAAAGGAACATTGATTCCTATGACATCATTTTTAATTAGATGATTATAGAAAGACTTGACAAAAAGGACCCTTTAGCATTGAGTCTCCAAATTGGTTGATTGTAACTCCCATTGATTGTAATGGTAGAAAGGGCTTGGAGGAGACTCTCATAGTCATTTACTTCCCAATCATTGAGATTTCTCATAACTTCCACATTTCACTCCCTTTTCCCCTTAATAACCCTATACGACTAGTTGATCGAGAAATTCTTGCACTGTGCAATAGCATAGATCCAGGGGAACTGTTCTCTAAGTGACAGCTCTCTTAACTAGCCATCATGTCAGAAACTAATCATGTCCCCAGTATCAACCCTCCAGCTGATACAATTTCGGAATTTATTTTTGCTCATGCATATTTTTTTCCACATTCCCTTCCCATGAGATCTAGCTGCTAGTATGATATACTACCTTCTATCCACTATCCCAAACTTCACCTCAACCACCCTCCACCAGACACTACCATTTTCATTCATGAATCTCCAAAGCCATCTCTCTATAAAGCCAAATTCAGCTCCACCAAAGATTTAAAACCCAAACCTTCCTAATACATAGATTTTTTAACTTTATACCACGTCACCAGGTGATACTTTTTCCTACCCTGATAAATAGAGTTTTTCCCTAGTACTATTTCCTTATTAAGTTGTTTTGCTTATTTAAGTACTTGTCCCTATAAACTATGATTGGTGTGAGTTTATTATTTTCTATTTTGTCACGATCTTATTTATTTGCTATAGGTTATTCCAATAATTAAATTATTTTCCTATGTAGCAGAATTTTTCTATAAATTTAAGTATTCCTATTTTAATTGAGTTGTAGTACTTATGAATAGGGCAGTGCCCCCTTGGCACCAATAGTCGATTGTTTAATCGATTTGTAAATCTTTTATAATTGGTTGATGCCCCCTTGGCACCTTTACTTCAATACAATTTCATACTTTTATTTTTTTTAAAAAAGTACTTATGAATAGGATAAAATAGGTTAGTTATTTTGGCAGACTAATCATATGATTATTATGTAAAAATTGGATTACTAATTTGTTTATTTAGATTCAAGATCTCCAATTTTTTGTTCTTGATAAATTTTCTGCAAGTATTGTCTTCAAGTTCTCTTTGTCCTACATCAATTGGTTAGTTCTGATGCTAATTGATTAAGAAAAAAAGAACTTCAACACAATACTTGAAGAAAATTTATTAAGAATAAAAAATTGGAAATCTTGAATCTTAATAAACAAAAAAAGAAGTTAATCAAATCAATAACTTAATGTTTATATAGCAATCATATAAATACACTGTCAAATAATTAAGCTATTGTATTCTGTTTATACATAATGGAGTATAATCAAAATAAAAGTTTATAAATCTATTTGGTAATTCTGCAAAATAGGAAACTAAGATAATTAACTGGAATAACTTGTAACAAAGACTAGCTAAATAGGATTCCAACTAAATAAGAAAAATAAACTCACACCAATGATGTACCTATAGGAATTAGTTCCTAGACAAGCAAATAGATTATAATACAGAAACATTACAATTACATCAAAATCTTCTTGTTTTGTGACAAAGAAACAAGTATCGATGTGATAGTTTTAGACAACCATTTACCTCCTCACTTAAAAAATGAAGATTTTCACGCTGATATTGTAACAAGGCCATTTGCTGATCAGAGAGGCGACCACCTTCTTGATACCTATGGCAGCAAAAAGTTGTCAATATGGCATCTTATTACCAATTTTATACAAGCTAAAAGATGATGCATGCATTAAAGCTTGAGGTCATTCATTATTTTGATCCCATCACAGTTTAATCAGTAATGCCGCAAATACGGTATTTAAAATTGCCAGCAATCTTCAGTTTTTTCAGGAAGTCTTAGTAATATGTAGATTAAGGAATGAATCAAGCAAATTGTGTGTACACTTTTTACATGGCTAGAGGGAGCATTTGATTACCTCAAACCTTCCAAAGAACTTGACGGTTGAAGGGGAGAATATAATGACTTTAGAACATCAGGCTGAGAATTCAAGGAATTGTACTGGTGCACATAACCTGCCAGCACGAAAACATGTGAAAGCTATTATCCAAGGAGAGCACACACACTTAAGAAAGAAGTTGTCAACATAGATTCATTGTAGCACACCTGAGAAAGCCATTAGACACAATATCCATAAGTTTAAGACTAACACCTTGGCATAGGCAAATAGGTTTAAAAAAGAAAATACCCAAAGGAATATAAATGACATTGGATTGGCATCATAAGATCATTTCAGATCCATGTAACCATGCATCTGTTATGTCCAACTATAGGACGAACAAGGATGAGCAAGATTCAGCATATTTGTCTGTTCAGGACAGCCAGTAGCACTGGTCCCACGGGAGGAAGAATTGTGTTTTGGTTTCTGTTTTAGCCTTTAGGAGTTATTTAAGCTGTGATGAGAAAAAATCAGAATTTTTATAGAATTTACTTGGAAGTCAACAACTTGTTTAAAAGTTCTATCTCAAATTATCATAATTAACAGAATTTAAAATGCATTATCTCACACCTAGTTTCATTAAAATTAATGGAATTTAGAATTCATTGTTCTAATTTCATTCAAAATTCACTATGAGCTCATTCTTTTCAAATAATTTTCTAAGTATTTAAATAAATTCTACAAAAATTTTAGATTTGTTTCAAATATAATTTTAGGAAGAAAGCATGATAGGAAGTCTAAGTTATTTTTGGGATAAAATAGAATAGGAAGTTTAGGTTAATAAGAATTTGTCAGATCCTACAAATTGGGAAATTAGGAGCAATGATCTTCCCTTTATATATACACTACTTCATCAGCAAAAATTATCAGTCAACATTTTATCAAAAAGAAAGGTCCTAAAGTATCCAAGTTTAAGAGATCGAAAGATTCTCTCCAATGAACCCCTAACCAAAAGCAACCTTTGTGCTTGCTGCATGAATTAACAGTCAGCAGGCCCTTAACTCAATCCTGAACACAAGACTAACATATTGGTGTTAGACCAAAAAGTATTGGGTTACATGAAGAATTTTCAACAAAAGTTTAAGGAATTTCCTCAAACTCTACCAGGAGGATTGCATTCACATGGAAAAGAGACATATTGGCTTCCAAAGCAGAACAGATCAGCACCGTGAAAGCTTCAATTAACCACCTGTTTGACAAGCAACCAGTTGGCTCTGGTCATAGTGCAGATCCTTTTTGGGTGGGTTTTCTTTTCTTTTTTTTTTTGGAAATATAAATTGTGAAGTATTTTACTATAGGCACCAAGAGAATGCCAACCATGTACAAAAATTTACATGTTATCCACAAGATTCGTTAGTTGGTCCATAGAACAAGGAGAACAACCCTGCAACAAAAACTAAGGGTCTAAAACCATCTATTTTTTAAGTATATCAAAACCATCAGCATCCTCAACCACATTAAATGTTCTCCTATTTCTCTCCTTCTACACCATCCAAAATATAGTTAGAGGAATAATCTCCACCTGCTTCCTTCAACGACTGATGTCCTTTCAAGCCCAAATTTCTTCCCTCACCAAACCTATCATGACCCAACTGATTCCAAGCAATCTATAAACCATAATCCATAACTTGTGAATTACAGAGCACCAAAGCAAGTTTCTATCTAAAGGAAAAGAATACTAGTTTACCACTTGTAAGAAAGAGAAACTAAGCGAGAGAGAGAGAGAGAAACTGAGCGTCTCTATCGCCGTCGACACAGTCACAACAGTGTCATTGTGTCTGGGTAATATTTACGGGTACCCAGAAATTTTTAAGGGTAGGGCAGAAGTCTTTTGACATTACTGGAGAAGGGGAATGGCTGAGAGTTTTTGAGAATGGGAAAGGATTTCGGAAGTCGATCTTTTTTCTTAAGAGGGATGCTGATGGCTTATGAGAAGCCTGAGGGAGTTTTGGTGGGAGAAAAAGGAGGGTTGAGCAAGCAGTTGGCGGAGTGGGGAGCAGACACTATGGATGGCCCTGAGTTCGATTCGGGGAGAGAAATTTTTGGTGTTATCCAAAGGTTCCACTAAAGGAAGGAGGGGCTTTAGGCGAATCTTTATTCTGGAAGGGGAGAAGGCATGTGGATGGTGGCAGTTCATGGAGTCGGTTAACGAAGTTCAAGGAGTCGAGCTTGAGGAACCAGAATGGTTGAAGGGTAAGGGGAAGGGGAAGGTGATGGTGGAGCAGAAGAGCATGGAGGATTCGAAAAAATGTTCAGCATCCGGAATTTTTTTCACAAGTTGTCCATGCTGTGGTGAAGAAATGGAGGCCAGTGTAAGTAGGAAAGGGAAGGAGATGGCGGCGGCAATACTCAAACGACCAGTGCAAGATTTGCATCGGGTACGGCAGGAAAGACCCGTACCCGTACTTTGGACCCAGTCTCATGCAAAACGGAGGGGTGGGTGGTCGTTTCGGGTCCATAAGTATCCAAACTGGTTCGGTTCGCAATGGACCAAGACCAGATCAAAACGCAGGTGGGAGCCATCGTTGGGAGATATTAATTGAGAAGAGGGCTAACGATCCTATGGGCTGGAGAAACGGGTTGAGAGTGGGCCGTAGGTTTACATGGCTGGAGAAATGGAAGTGGATTGATGTACTCGACCCAAGCAGGTTCAAATCCAACTTAAGCCCAAGAGGCTGGTTGGTTTGGAGACTGGTGAACCGCAGCCCGACCGGGAATCCTGAACTGGTTCAGGATGGAAAAACAGACGAAAAAAGAAAAGAAGAAGGGGAGAAAGGGAAGGAGAGTCGGGTTTCAATGGAGGATGCGGAAATGGTGATCAGGGGTGTCCAGAGTCAGGTGACAGTTGTTTGTGATGGAGGTTCTGGCATGGAGATTAGAGATTCGGCCGAGGATAGTGGAAACGTTACAATGCTGGATGAAGAAAATGGTGGTTTCGACGGAAAAGAGAGTGTGCTACTGCCAGAAAGCGTCAGTAGCAGTTCCGCAGGCGGAGAGGGGTGCACACTGGTCTGTTCGGTCGAAGGAGGTACTGATTTAGCGTTGATGGTTGTTGAAGAAAATTTTGATGATTGTAACACTGATTTTGAGGAGAATGGGCAGGAAGGCAGCAGGGAGATGGAAAGGTTGTCTGGTGAAATTGATTTAAATGGGTGAATGTCGGTAAAACTCAAAATATTCAAAAAATTAGTAAGAAGGTTGAGGTATCTCTTTATGGGTTTGGAGGAGAAATTGTTGGAACTTTTTATTAAAATAAAGAGAAGAAGAATGGAAAACAGCAGTGGGGGATCAGTTGGTGAGAAGGTGAAGAAGAAATCTGGAGAGGAGAGAGCTAGGGATTGAGAAGTTACAACTTTCTGTTACTCATGAAGGTAGAAGGAGAGGCAGCAGGGGTGAGGGAGAAAATGGAAGGAAAAAATGATGAGTGAAAAATTATTTCTTGGAATGTTAGGGGGTTAAATGATAAAAAGAAGAGAACAATGATTATGGGATGTTTGGGCTGGTGGAAATTGGATGTATGCTGTTTTCAAGAAACAAAAATTGGAGGAGATTGGTATTGGGTTCATTCGTAGCTTTTGGAAGAAAAAGGAGATTGGGTGGAATTGTATTCCTGTGAATGCACCAACGGATGGTATTTTAGTGATATTGAGAGAGGACCGTCTTA